GATGGGTGCTGGGCCAAGATTGGCAACAATAGTTCCCCAGGAGCAAATAGCTGGGTTGGAGGTTGGAGTCTATGGCACTGTAACCTGTCTGAGGTCCCCATCTCCCCAGGCAGCTTTTAAAACATGATCCTGGGACCTACACACCACCAGACATTCCAACTGCCTTGCGGGGGGGGGGGGGTTTGAGGGGTGGAATGCAGGGAAGTCCAATCAGCTTCCATATGCAAAAGACCTTGAAACACTGGGCGGGACTGCACAAAGCAGCCAGTCAACCCAGCCAGCATCTTCTGACTGACAGTTCAAGCGTCCATACACTAAAGGAGTGCATTTTAGAACTTTGGCACCCACTACTCAATTATATATAAGGAGAGATGAGCTTGGGGGGGGGACGGCTAGTGAGCACGATACGATACTGCTCCTCCCTCTGTGTTGCTCTCCCCAGATGGTAACTTCTGAATGGCTGTAATGGATTTCAGTAGAGCTAGTTCACACACTCAGTTGTGAGTAGGGTTTTTTTTTTTTTTTAATTTATTTTTTCAATTTTTAACAATTCTAACACTTCAAACAGTGAACAATTAATTTTCCAATTACATTCACATCCTGTAAATAGTTCCTGCGTATGTACAACGTTATAACATGTTCAAAGAATTACAATACATTACTCAACACACTTCCGAATATGATTTCAGTAGAAAGATAACAGACTTAGCGTAAACTTGATAGGAACACTAGGAAGCATCCCGAACTATTGGAGCGGTAAGAAAGAGAAGAAAGAAAAGGAAATATTAGAGCTAGTGGAGATGATATAAATAAGTAAGTATGAGAATTTGCGGAACTGGACATTGCATTAATCTTATATCCATTTGTGATATTGAGACCAATCAGATGAGATAAATTGTTTTTGTGACAGATAATCTAGCACTGGGTACCATTTCTCTATGAAATTAGACTTTATTGGGTTTTGTGACATGCAATTTAGTTTGTTGGAGACTGCATCCATTAAGTAAGTAGGGTTGCTAGTCTCCAGAAGGTAGCTGGAGACAGAAATCAGTTCCCCTGGAGAAAATGGCTGCTTTGGAAGGTGGACTCTATGCCATTTAGGGTTGCCAGTTCCCGGGTCCGGGAGGGGGTTCCCCCACTTCTGGGGGCTTCAATCCACCCCTGGCCATCTGGCTGCCAAGGGAAGCCCAGCCCCGAAGCCTCACCCCCAAGAACGACCACCTGCCTGGCCACCCCTCTCCTTCCCCTCCTGCCCAATTTAAAGGGCTTCAGCTGATCGACGGGGGACACGGGAATGGAATGGAATTAAATGAAATGGAATGAAAGAGGGAATGGAAGCCATCAGAATCACTTTGTGGCAACTGAAGCAGCCAGGGACTACCTTGCTGATATGTCAGTTCTGATGCAACAGATGGCAAGGTCAGCTTCGTGGTTTCAGGCAGCCTTGTACTAAGTTTGTAGAAGCCCCCCTTTAGACTTTACAAATGGATCCTCAGTCTGTAGGCACATGGAGGTCCTCCTGAACCCACCTCTGTTGAGAGGAGGGCTAAAGCCCGGCTCCCTAGACTACTGACACTCCCTTGCAGAACATGTAGATCCTGGAAACCAGATAACCCCCACTTTGTTCTGCCTCCACACACCCATCCCCATTGTGCAACCTGCTACTTTTTCTTCCCAGTCCCCCATGTATAACATAAATGTACTTTTGTTCACAGTCAAAACCGGTAGCGTTTGCTGTTAAGACTAATGTGAGCTACTGTGGCGCACTGGATGAAGATGTTCCTGTACCAAGCACTGCCATCTCTTTTGATGCCAAGGATTTTCTACACATTAAGGAGGTAACTACACAATATAATTATTCCTCTTACCTGCCAATAGCTTGGAGCCATGCAGGACACAAAACCGAAGCTGAAAAGCTGCCAGGGTGGCATCCCAGGTCATTCATCCTGATCAAAGTCTTAAATGGCAAAGAGGCTATATATTAAGACAGCCTGAAATTCTTTGCCAGTGAACGTGACATCTGGGCTGAAATTCAGTCAAAAGACTTTTTTTAACTAACTCTTTTAAAGAATTAAGAAGCTAAATGAAGTGACTGAATAGCTTCTTGCACTGTATGTCAGGTGTGGCTGAAATAGGCATAGTGACATGGGGCACCGTGCTGGATTTATGGCTTTCATATATGGACTGACATCCCTACAATATCATTCCACGGCAACAATCAGGCTCCTTTTAGATATTTGCTCATTCATTTAGTTAAGCATTTGTACCCAGCTTGTCTCTCCAAAGGGGACCCAAAGTGGCTTACAGCCCTCCCAAAAGACACTATACTCATAAACCAATAAACAACAAAACAGCCACCAGCAACAAACTACATCTTCAGCTGGTCCTGTACTCATATGCTGGCTCCTCTGAAGGCCTGGCCTAGGAACCATGAGCCAAAGGGCCAAGAGCCCTTCAGCTAGAGCCCAAAGACTTGTGTCTCTGGCCATGCCCACACTTTATAGATGCCTGAACAGGGACCCAAATCATCAGCAAAATGGTGCAGCTGGTACAGATGCTCTTCCACTCTTTTCCTCCCTGTTTTAAGTTCATTGTCCTGCAGGGTTGCCAAGTGTCTTACGTGGTGCAGCGGGGGAGAGTCAGTCCCAGCCCAGGACATTCTCGCGCGCGCCATGATGACATCGCCCGGAAGTGACATCATCATGCTGGGCACGTTGCCAGGCAACGCTCTATCAATCAGCCTGAAAACTCTATGGTACCATAGAGTTTTCAGGCTGATAGCTAGAGCGTTGCCTGGCAATGTACCCTGCATCACTTCTGGGTGACGTCATCATTCCAGGTGCGTCAGCCCAATCTGGGCACTTTGGGGGTGGGGTCCCCCTGCCGGCCGGATCCAGACTGGCGGGTTGGGGGCCCTTTGGGCGGAAACTCCCCCCCCCCACTCAGGAGACTTGGCAGCCCTAGTGTCCTAATTCAGGAATTTTGTTGACATGCTTATTTTAATAGGTTTTTAGTTATCCTGGAATAGCACAATATATCTGTATCAGTTTCCCTGCTCTGAAATAGCCACAGATGTATGCATGCGTGTACTGTCTTTTACAGAAAAGAAGGGGGGAAATCCTTATTTCCACATTCTACTGCTGAAACTCACAGCCTTGTAAGGCTGCTTTTAGTGTATAAAAATAACAACAGAGAAAATCAGCAGGGTGGGAGGAAGATGCCCTCCGTTGTTTTACATCCAGTTGGGGCTTTCAAGCAAGGTCACTTTGGCTATAGGCTGAAATGTCAGCAAGAATGGATGAGTCTCCACATTCAAGACATCTCATCTGTCACCCGTCGAATAATGTATTATGCATTTTTAAAACAGATTAAGTGACAACAATTATTGGCAATGCATAAACATTCTGGGTACAGCAACCAGTAGGAGGGAAATGTTCTCCTTCCACCTATGCTTAAGATTGAGATATACTTAGTAGAACATATGGAAGGTGTTTTGGCAATGAAAGTAACCTTTCTTTATGTTGCTGTAACTCAAATTTGGAATTAGAATAAGTTTTTAAAAAACAACCACCACCCAGGTTTACTAAAGAAATCTAGTCGTAGTCGCCCAATTCCCAGATGCCATGAAGCACCTCAGTAAACACCTTACCCTATCAGCTAATGAATGTATGTTTCA